GAGAGAGACACTGCAAGAGAGGGAACACAAGCAGGGGGAGTGGGAGAGGGAGAAGCAGGCTTCCCTCGGAGCAGGGAGCCCGATGCAGGGCTCGATCCCCCAGGACCTGAGCTGAAGGCAGACGCTTAACGACTGAGCCACCCAGGCGCCCCATTTAAAGCTAATTTTAAATTTAAGGTGGGTTCCTCTTTTGGGGGAAAAAGAAAAGGTGGCTCTCAGTTTGTTTTTTTTTAAAAGATTTTATTTATTTGAGAGTGAGAGAGAGAGCACAAACAGGGAGCCCAACGCGGGACTCGATCCCAGGACCTCAAGATCATGACCTGAGCCAAAAGCAGATGCTTAACCAACTGAGCCACCCAGGCGCCCCAGGTTTTAATGGGCTCTCAGCTTTAATCTGGATACTCATGGGGACATACACCTGGTAATGGGGAAATATCACCAACAGCCTCACTGTCACCACTGGCCTGGTGAGGATCTGCTCCCCACCTCATGTTCACTGAAGAAGTTCAAGGGCACAGGTGTTAGAAGTAAGAAACCTGACTCCCCTGTACTGGCTGGCAGCCCCACCCCCAGGAGGAAGTAGTTGGGAGAAAGGGATTCTAGGTCAGTTCCAGCAGAAGCAAGGCCAGGAAGGATGATGAAGGCAGCAATTTAAGGCTGAGCATGGGATAAAAGTAGAGCGATGTGGGCGGGAGGAAAGTTCCATTCTCCCCATCACAGTCAGGATGCTTTAGGCTAGCTGCTTAGATTTTGCTGACAGTGTCCAGCTGCTGGGTCCCAGGGACGTGACTTTTGGCAAACTGATGCCTTTCTCAGCCTCAACCCCCTACCATCCAATAGCCCAATGGGATAATGATGCCTTTCTTAATAAGGATTACCTGTCAGACTTAATGAAGCCTTCCGAGGGTGGTCACAAACCCCAAGCCTTACTCTGACCACACACTACATGAAAGTGACTGTCGGTTTCACATTTGGCCTCATATTTAACAATCATTAAGTGGAAAGGCACAATGCCTGTCATGTGACATATCTCCCACAGTTCTCAGGTCCTCAGTCACTCCTAACATTCCTATAAAATACCCGCCTGCCCGGGTTACAGAAGAAGAAACTAAAGGAGATTCATTCTTTTCACAACTCCGCTCAGATCGGAGAGGCTCTATTCTGGACACTGACACCCGGCACTGAACAAGACTGACACTGGCTGATTCTTGCAGAGCATCCATTCTAGCAGAAGGGAAAAGATCATCAACAAGAAATAAATCCCGGGGCCCCTGGGTGGCTCAGTTGGTTAAGCGACTGCCTTCAGCTCAGGTCATGATCCTGGAGTCCCGGGATCGAGTCCCGCATCGGGCTCCCTGCTCAGCGGGGAGTCTGCTTCTCCCTCTGACCCTCTTCCTTCTCGTGCTCTGTATCTCTCATTCTCTCTCTCTCAAATAAATAAAATCTTTAAAAAAAAAAACAAGAAATAAATCCAGATACTGGTAAACATTATAAAGGAAACAAAACAGGATGATTTGATGGAGAGACACAGAGGAATAGTAATAGAGGAATGCAGACTTCAAATAGAGGGAGCAGCCAGTGCAAAGGCCCTGAGACACAAAATAAGCTTGACTCATTCAAGGAAGAGAAAGGAGGTCAGTGTGGGAAGGAGTGGGAGACAAGGTAGGAGAGCAGGCCCGGGCCCAACTGTGTCAGGTACCACAGGCACAGGTAGTTGTGAATGCAATGGGAGGACACTGGAGGTCTTTTAGGCAGGGAACTGACACGATCTAAGTTCTGGTGGTAGTGGAAAGAATGGACAATGGCGGCCAGGTTCAAAGTTTAGAGATTAAACAAGCGGCTCGGAGTTTGACCGCCGTAACTAGTCTGCATCCAACACCACAGTTCACTTCCACAGTGTCACATTTTACACACGAATAGTATTTTTTTAAATGTTTTATTTATTTATTCATGAGAGTCAGAGAGAGAGAGAGGCAGAGGCAGAGGGAGTGGAAGAGGGAGAAGCAGACTCCCCGCCGAGCAGGGAGCCCGATGCGGGACTCGATCCCAGGACCCTGGGATCATGACCTGAGCCGAAGGCAGTGGGATCATGACCTGAGCCGAAGGCAGATGCTTAACCATCTGAGCCACCCAGGCGCCCTACACACCAATAGTATTAACACTGTTCTGGAATCGCACATCTGACAAAGTGGGGGTCCCGTTATCTCTCTGATCCAGCCTTGCTTCCTGCATCAATCCAGGGAGCAGAACCACTCCTGGTTCAATGATTGACAATTCCACAGCACACATGCAAACATGCTCTGTGTTCATCTGGCAACATCTGACAAACAAGGAAGGTCGACTGTGTGCCAGACACTTACAAAGTTGTCCCACAGGGTTAGAAATGTATTACTGGAATAGATGTTTACTAAAAAATTACTCTGGGGAAAATGAAAGGCCAGCCCTCATTCCTTAAGAAAGGTGAGGCTGGTCTGGAGTCCCCCTAGTCCTCACTTTTCTCTGAAAACTCTCCATAAAGCCAACTTGTCTCGAGGGGCATCTGCTTCTTTGAACAGAAAGAAGAAATAAAGCAGAAAACCAGTAAATATATTGGGAAGGCAGGACACTATAGCCAAGGAACCTGAGATAAGACCTCGGGCATCACAGGGGACCCTGGGCATCACAGGGGACCCCGGGCATCAACCCCCGGGGAGAGGTTTCTATTTCTAACCTGTAAAACCCAGGCCAACCTCTCCTCCCCCTGAGGTGGGCAGCCCGTAAGAAACTACCACGGATGGCACTGTGGTGTGGCTGAGGCACAATTAGTGGGGGACTGCCTGCCCCTGCTGCCCTGAGGGGCTGGAACGCTTGGATGAAAGGGGATTCTCAGGTACCTGAGCTCGTTCAGTTTATACTGCTCTCGGACAGCCTTCCCGCATGAAAGGGGCAAATGAGGTCACAGTCATTGCTCCTGAGCTCTGAGCAGAACGGACAACACTCAAGCCTATGAGAACCAAGGAAGCCGAGTTGCCATGGCAGTTCTCTCTACTTCATTTAGCCACCACCCAGAGAAAAGAACCAAGCCTAGACTGCCTGGTCTGCTTTCTAACTGAACACCCAGACCTAGATTCCTTCTCTAGATGACCAGAACGGGCTGCATGTTGGCCATTCTGCTCCCCCGGGAGAGGATCAAAGGAAGCAGAAAAAAGCTATGGCCTGGGAAACCAACGCAAGACAGAGGTAGACTAGTAGGTACAGGAAAATAATAATAGTAATATGGTTGGAAGACAGCTACTCCCTGATGAGGGAAAAAAAACCCTGAATAGCTGGTGACTTTTTAAGCAGAACTCCATAGACACTAGGTACAAATGCACTGGATGTGGGACCTGTCTGTGTAGGGACCCAAGTACCCCTCTAGGAAGGCCTCTCCCTCCCTATGTTGGGTTGAATAGTATCCACCCATGCCCCCAAATTCATGTCTACCTAGAATCTCTGAAGGTGACCCTATTTGGAAATAGGGTATTTTCAGATGTAATTAGTTAAGATGAGACCATACTGGATTAAAGCAGACCCTATTCCAATGGCTGGTGTTCTTATAAGGAGAGAAAACAAGACAGACACACAGATAGAACGCCCTGTGACAACCAACTCAGAGTTTGGAATGATGCATCTACAAGCCAAGGGACGCCAAGAATTAGGATGGCCCTGCCAACATCTTGATTTTAGACTTCTAGCCTCCAGAATTGTGAGAGAACACATTTCTTGTTGTTTTAAGTCCCCTTGTCACAGCAGCCCTAGAAAACCAATACACAAGGGGTGCCTGGGTGGCTCAGTCGGTTAAGCATCTGCCTTCTGCTCGGGTCATGATCGTACGGTTCTCGGATCCAGCCCCGAATCAGGCTCCCTGTTCACATGGGGGGCCTGCCTCTCCCTCTCCCCCTCCCTCTGCTCTCTCTCTCAAATAAATAAATAAAATCTTAAAAAAAAAAAAAAAAAAGGAAGGAAGGAAAACCAATACATTCTATTTCACACCTGTTTCCCAAACCACCCTTCCCAGTCTCAGCCCAGAAGCAGGTGAGACACACAGGCCATGCCACCAACCTTCTTGGAGGTTCTACCTTCTCAGCGCTCATCAGCACGTCTCTCTTTAAGGTGAGCGGAGTGAGTGTAGGGATCACATATCAGCCACCCCCAGAGGCAAACTGGCAGGGGACAGGGGAGTGTTTGTTTTTCCCCACATCCTCCCAGTTTTGTAGCCTCTCACTTAGACTAGTTAAATTTTTTTTTTTTAAGATTTTATTCATTTTATTTGAGAGAGAGAAAGAATGAGAGACAGACAGCATGAGAGTGGGGAGGGTCAGAGGGAGAAGTAGACTCCCTGCTGAGCAGGGAGCCCGATGTGAGACTCCAGGGAGACTCCAGGGACTCCATTCTGGGACTCCAGGATCATGACCTGAGCCGAAGGCAGTCGCTTAACCAACTGAGCCACCCAGGCGCCCCTATAGACTAGTTAAATTTTATTCAGTCCCATCCCAGCGATTTTTTTTGAAGGGGGCATAACTATATATTCCGTGTACTTTCATTTACCTAACGTTTCTTTATATCGAGTCACAACTTTTTCTATCTTAAACTGCTACATCATTACAGTCAATGAGAATCAGCATCATTTATCCTATGCAGAACTTGCTAGATATACATTTTTAAATTTCACATTAAAATAAATGCACAATCTTTTTTTAAATGTACTATTTAAAATCATCTCAGGTGTCAACACTATGGGAAATACAGCTTTAAGTAGTGCAGTGACTATCTCCGTTTAGCTGTCTGGGTTCCTAATAAGTAAAACCAGTTAAAGCTCCCAACCTCCAGTGTCTCCCCCACGACACTCCAGGAGAAGGGTAAGGGCAGGAAGAAGGCAAGGCGCCGGTAGTTTCGAGTACCTACGCGGGACGACCAGAGGATATGGAATCGAGACCCAATCAAATGCCCAGCCCCACGACCGCGGCCGGGGAGGAACTGACCTTCTCGCGAAGGGTGCAGTGGACGTCCGAGGCGACGCGCCCTTCCCACCACGGTTCATCCATCATCGGGTATGCAGCGCAGCGATTCGACGCTACCGGGCTCTCAGGGCGCACCCTGCGTAGACACGGCAACTTGAGCAGCCGCAGCACGCCCCCCGGCTCCGACCCCCGGCACCCTTACCCTCGCTCGTCCCCGACTGGGGCCCGAACGGGCGCCCCTTCCTGCCCTGCTTGGCGGAGCTAGTGGTCGTCTCCGCTCCCGGAGAGGGTGCGGTGCCCCTCTGCCCTCTGCTCGCGGGAGCCGGGGCGACCTGGAGCTGTGCAACAACTTGCCGAATTTTTATCTTCCTTTTTGCAAAAGTTGCAGGGAAAGTTGTCGACTCCGCTAGGTCGCCCGAGGCTGGGGCTCCGGCAGCGGCCACCGGCTCGCCGTCCCCAACTCCTCCCCCGCCGCCCAGCCTTTGTCCTGCTCCCACATCCTGCCCTAGAGCCGGGGCCAAACTCACGCATCCCTCTTCGGGCGTGGGGGGCTGCGGGCGCCAGGCCCCTATCACGGCCGAGCCGGCGGTGCCCTCGGGTGCCTGCACGCGTCTGGGCGAACGAGCGCGGCGCTCCACGCTCTCGACGGCCGCTTCCGCAGCCCCGCTCGCCCCCGCCGCCGCCGCCGCCGCCGCCGCCGCCTCCGCCGCGCCCCTGTGTGCGCTCGGGTCCCGCCGCGGTTCGCAGCCTCCCGGCCGCCGGGGGCCTCCCTCTCTCACTGGGGGAATTGGGGGCCGGGCGTCGCGCATGCGCCGCCGGCCCGCACCCCGCGGGGCGGGGGGCTGGGAATTGGAGTCTTTTCTTTCACCAGTGTTGGCTCCGCTTCCTGCCCGCCCTCCTCCCCCGCCTGGGTGGAAAAGCTTCCTCTTACCTTTGCGGAGACTCTGGGTGGCTTCCTGGGCGCCTCGCGGGCTTGCGCGGGGAGTGCAGGGACCGCAGCGCCACCTGCGCGCACCACGCGTGAAACGCGCGGGCAGGATGCCCCCAGAAAGTTCTGTCTCCCGCCTGCGCTGCTGTAGCCAATCTTACGTAGGTTTCACCTGTTTTTCCTTTCCTTCTTTCTTTTTAAACTTGTCCTAGTATGGGGAGGTAGATTTCCAAACGGACAGTTCCCACGAAAGCTCGAGAAAAGCCACTCTTGGTTACCCACGAGTCCTTCATTCTAAAGGAGGATCAGTAAATGAACTGGTATTTATTGTGTTCCCGCAGAGTGTAGATCTCGTCTTAGGTTGGAGGAAAACCTGTCTTTTGGAAGGGTCCGGTGGCTGGAAAGCATTGTCATTTTAATTCAGCTGATTGTTTTCGGAAAGGCACTCCCTTGAATCAGCTGGTCTACTGGCACATCAGTAGGCTGTCCTCTTGGCTGATTGGGTTTTTGTCATACTTTTGGAGAGTCACAGATCTGTTTCCAATCCACCTACAAACTGGATGATTTTTGCCAACTTCCTCACACGCTCTAAGCCTGGGAACCTTCTTGTATAAAATGGGAACAAAAATTGCAGCAGCCTGCTGGAGATATTGTATTATTAAATAAGATAATTCGTGTAAAAGAATAATCGCCATGTCAGGTATACAAAGAACACTCAATAAATAGCCACGACTAAAGAGCCTTTAGTTTCTGACTGATTTCCTTCAAGCACATACCCACCTGGAAAAAAATTTTTAAGTCAGCTTTGATAAGCTTCAATTGGAGCTTAAAGAGCAGTTTTAATATAATATATACACACATACATATATATATTCCTGTAAAAGTGTAAAATACCTAGGAATAAACTTACTGTTAAGTCCAGGCTCTTAATGAAGAAATTACAAAAGTTGAAACATAATAAGAAAGGCTTGAAGAAATAGAAGGAGGTGAAAATACCAACTTTACTCAAATTAATTTTTTTTTAAATGGGCTCCCTGCCCAGCGTGGAACCAACTGTGGGGCTTGAGCTCAGAACCTTGAAATGAAGGCCTGAGCTGAGATCATGAGTCTGATGCTTAAGCAACTGAGCCACCCAGGCGCCCCTCAATTAGCTCTTTTAATAAAATTCTAATGATTGCAGATAGATAGGGGTGGGTGAGGGATGACACATAACACTTTTTCTAACACTCAAATGGAAGAATATCTGTGAGAAAACCTAAGCTTTTTATATTTTAAAAATGGAGGATAGACATGCATTACCAAATCTCAGAACATATTGCCAAGCTGTAATTGTAATAGTGTGGTGTTGATACAACAATGGGTGGATAAGCATCAGTGGAATAATTGAAGCCTAGAGACGTATACAAGATACTTAAATATTAACCTTAGGATCAATGTGGCATTTCACTTTTGTGGGAAAAAGGATAATTTCTTCAATAATTTAGGCTAGGGAAATTAGTTAATTGAAGGAAAAAAACCTAGAGATTTATTTATTTAAAGATTTTATATATTTATTTGACAGAGAGAGACACAGCCAGAGACGGAACACAATCAGGGGGAGTGGGAGAGGGAGAAGCAGGCTTCCCGCCTAGCAGGGAGCCCGACGTGGGGCTTGATCCCAGGACCCCGGAACCATGACCTGAGCTGAAGGCAGACGTTTAATGACTGAGCCACTCAGGTGGCCCTAGAGATTTATTTAAACCATCACCAAAATAAATATAACAACCTGTGAAATGACAAAACTAAAAGAATTTAGTAACAAATTTGACGTCCTTTATTCAAGGGAAGACAGTCCGTGTATTGGGGGAATACAGCACCTCACCAGCAGTGGAGTGGTCTTCTAGAGGGATTTTGGGCAAGAGCAAGTTTTACAGAATGTGAGAAAAGGCGATACAGAAGCAGGGCATGATTGGCTAGGTAGGAGGTTGGGGATTTCCTTATTAGGCTAGCAGGTCCTGTTTTCTAACGTAAGGTAAACTAGCTAAAGCTAATTTGGAGATTCGTGATTGGTCTACGTTAGGTTTCCTTGCCAGGTGTTTCCAGAAAAGCGCAGTCTGTCTTGGGTTTAGATTTGTGATGTGGGACAGGTCATTAGGGTGGCTTCCATTTTATGGGTTCCTATCTATAAATTAGCTTTATCAAGCCCAAAGAACTACAAACAACAACAACAAAATTACAAGTCAATTAAGAGAAAACATAGGTGAATTATTTCAGAGGAGAAAGCCCAGATACAAAGCGCAGGAAAAACCAAAGAATGAGTATATATATTTGAATGAATGTGCAAGACTTGGACATACCGAGTATCATTGAAAAGGCAAATGACCAATTGGAGAAAATGTTTTTAACAAATGTGACATTAGTTTGTCTTACTATCTGGACCTCGTGTAAATCAATACTACATAAAACACTAACACCAAAATTCAGAAATGGATGAACAGGCACGCCATGAAAGAAGAAATTCAAATGGATTAGTATCATTTTGAAAATGTTCATATTCACTAGCAAAGACATACAAAAAAATTTTTTAGGGGCTCCTGGGTGGCTCAGTCGGTTAAGCATCTGCCTTTGGCTCAGGTCATGATCCCAGGGTCCTGGGATGGAGCCCTACATTGGGCTCCCTGCTCAGTGGGTAGTCTGCTTCTCCCTTCCTCTGCCTCTTCCCCAGCTTGTGCGTGCTCACTGTCTCTCTCACTCTCTCTCCCTTACTCTGTCTCTCAAGTAAATAAAATCTTTAAAAAAAAATTTAAAAAAATTTTTTAGAAACAGTGCGGTACATCCTTGTTGAGGATTTTTAAAAACATAACACATAAGGTTAACAAATGTAAGTATTGTTGGGAATATAAATTAATACCATCTTACTAAAAGATGTAACTCAAAAAAAATTTAAATGTATCCTTTGATCTAACTATTCCACTTCTGGAAATTTATTTATTTTTTTATTCAGTCATTTATTTATTTATTTATTGACTTTATTTATCTGTCAGAGAGAGAGAGAGCACAAGCAGGTGGAGCAGCAGACAGAGGGAGAAGCAGGCTCCCCAATGAGCAGGGAGCCTGATGCAGGGCTCCATCCCAGGACCCTGGGATCATGATCTGAGCCGAAGGCAGAAGATTCGCTGTCTGAGCCACCCAGGCATCCCTGGAAATTTATTTAAAAAAAATAAGCAGATGAGTACAAAGATTTCTTTTATTTTTAAAGATTTTATTTATTTATTTGAGAGAGAGAGAATGAGAGACAGAGAGCACGAGAGGGAAGAGGGTCAGAGGGAGAAGCAGACTCCCTGCTGAGCAGGGAGCCCGATGTGGGACTCGATCCCGGGACTCCAGGATCATGACCTGAGCCGAAGGCAGTCGCTTAACCAACTGAGCCACCCAGGCGCCCTACAAAGATTTCTTTACAGGGGTTTCATCACATTTTTTTTTATTATAGTGAACTATTAGAACAGGGACTGGTTAAGTACATATGCAAAAGAAACTGAAGACTATCCATAAAAATATTAACTGTAATCAGAGTGGTAGGATTATGGGAAATTTTCTTTTACTTTTTATTCTAGGATATCTGTATTTTCTAAGTTTTCTACAAGAAACATGTATTACTTTTATAATCAGAAAAAAAGTCAATGCTTTTTTTTTCTAAAGATTTTATTTGTTTATTTGAGACAGAGAAAATGAGCTATGGAGTGGCAGAGGGAGAAGCAGGAGAAGCAGACTCCCGACTGAGCAGGGAGCCCCATGCGGGACTCAATCCCAAGATCCTAAGATCCCAAGATCATGGCCTGAGCCAAAGGCAGATGCTTAGCCGACTGAGCCACCCAGGCACCACATCCATGTTGTTTTTTTGTTTTTTTTTTAATCACTTACTTACTAGAGGGGCCTCCACTGAATAACAGTTCAAAGTATTGTTTTGCTTTCTGTTCCTGTTGCTGTTCTTCTTCATTCCTCATAGCAGTATTACCACCTCTCTGTGCAGGGTTCACCAAAGGAGGAAAGGCCTTTATAATTCACCAATCTGGACTCCTCTTTTCCTAAACTTCAGCTGTCTGTTATCTGGAGTTCTGACGGATGACAGAGGGAGGCAGAAACTTGGCTTTTCTCCAGGAGCGATTTTAAGAGGATTCTA